GGGCTTATTTGATGACAGGATTCTTGTTTCTGCCAAGGGTTTGCCTTCTTACAAGTCTCCGTGGTAAGGGAGAGATGTGTGGGCTTCAAATAAAAGTTTTCAGTGGAATTGGTTTCTTGGACCGTGCCCAGTCCTCTCTCTCTATGCTCTTGAAAAGTTGGTCAAAGTCAATATGGCTGTCATTTCTGGAGCAAACGCTTATTTCAATATTTTTAATATGTGAAGTATATCAATAATTGAAGTTCGCAAGACTTCATCTTGCTTACTTTGGATACTTCAGCAGGAAAGACAAGGAGTAGAGAAGGTGAAGTAGATGACAATACGATTAATCTTCAACAAGACCAATTGATATAAAAGCTACAACAGTAGGCTCAAGCGTACATCCCACTCTGGCCTGAGTCATCATTTTAATTTCAATTTGTACACAGTACTAGTTTGGGTTTGGTGTTGGTTTTGCTTTGGAAAAAAGATCTTTGTTATCATAGTAGTAGGCATCTTTCTTCACTGCCTAACCAACTGTACACTTGTCTTTTTTAAATTGTGTCTCCTCTTCCCTGTTTAAAATTAACTCATTCCTTTGTCACCCCATCTGATAAGAGACAACTACTATCACATGACCTAGCCACCCTGCACCATTATCAGCTTCACCTAGTAGACAAGGACTACCACCAACTACAGAATCATTTGACACACATATATATATATTTTAAAACCACACACACACACACAAATTGAGAGAACTACAGGAGAAAAAAATATTGAAGAGTTCAGGAAAACTCTTCAAGAGCAATGTGAGAAAACAAATGAAATCTTAGAAACCATACAAACCTCCAAAGCTATCCAAAGATGCACCGTAAAACATTAGAATTAGCTAGCACGTTGAGAGCAAAGCAATGGAATTGAAACAATGGAAGGTTGAACTGGTGCTGTTGTACTCAGGGCCATCCAGCCACTTCTGCTTCGTGGCAACCCTGTAGGACGGGGAGAGGCTGCCCGTGTGAGCTGCTGCCACTGAGCCGCTGTACAGGAGTAGAAAGGTGCAGCCTCCTCCCACGCAGCTGCGGGTGGTTTCCAACTGCAGCCCAAGGCATGGCCCACCACACCACCAGGGCTTCCTTCAGAAATGTTTATTCCCCTAAATAACCAGAAATACAACTAAGTTCTGTTTTATGGAGTATTATAGAGAGCTGTCCACCATGGGTATGCATGAAAAGAGGTTTGGAAACCTAATGAGCAAGCTAAAGTACTATGGAATTATCTCAGATTCCATCACTGTAGCAGGACTGTCATTAGTAAAGAGCAAAGAGCAGAAAGTTCCCATGGAAGGTATCTTTCATTCTTTTGGCATTATCTGACATTCTAGCAGACTTTAGAGACATTATCAGGAGAGATCAGTCCCTGGGAAAAGCCCATCATGCTTGGTAAGTAGAGGGGAAGTGAAAAAGAGGAATATTCTCAACAAGATGGATTGACACAGTGGCTGCAACAGTAAACTCTAACATACCAATTGTGAGGAGGGGGTGGAATGGAGGCAGTGTTTCATTGGGTCGTTGGAATTCAGAATGCACTTCGCAGCCCAGAACAACAATTAATCGACTGGTCGTGTTCCCACTCATTACATGAGATTCAGAAAGGGAAAGTTTCTTCCCTTGCTAAGATACTTTGTGCACAAAGACAATTACAAAACAGACTGTGGACCAAACCGAGCTCTGAAATGAGTATGTGAATGACAGTATGACCATTGGGCATGCACTCTTCTAGATTGGTATTACCATCTTCCAGTGAAGCGGTCTGAGAAGGCTGTGGACGCACCACCGACATCGCAGATCCCAGGGCTTAGTGATCTCGGAGATAAACAAAATGGAAATGCATTTGGGACTCGTCGATACTGGATAAAAGAAACTGACTCGGAGTACGTCAAACTCGCCAAACAAGGTGGCAGGCCTGGTAAGTCCATTCATTGGTTTTCACTTATCGTTCACTTGAAAATTAGTTCTGTAAAGAGTAAAGGGCAATTCCTGTAACAATTTACATTTTTGCAGTATAAAAATATTACTGTAAAATCTAAGTGTTCCCTAGTGCTTTTGGAAATCTGGAGCCCTGGTGGCGTAGTGGTTATATATTGGACTGCTAGCCACAAGGTTGGAGATTCAAAACCACCAGCTGCTCTGAGGAAGAAAAATGCGATTTTCTACTTCCATAAAGAAAGGGCTCAAGTAGAAAGCACATATTTTGAGAACAATGAGGGCAACAAATGTACAAATGTATCTGATACATGGATGTATGTATGGATTGTGATAAGAGTT